CAAAATATTTCAAAATGCAGTGACTGAGCTCCTTTAAAAGCAAATGCCTGGGAGCAAAACTAGCAAATAATTTAGACAGAGGTGTAAAGGTTCCCCACAGTATTCCCAATATCCACAACATTCACCACAATATTTTAGCATGGTCTGGTTTTGTATTATACCATATTTGGTGTACTGTTACATCTATAATCTGAGACAAAATTAAAGACATGCTTGAAAACAAACAAGAACTAAGCAGTATGGATTTTATACCTTTCCATCAGAATCACAACAGTTGATGCAGCTGACTTCTTTATACCCATACAAAGACCCTGGGATAATCTGTACTCTGGTGAACCCACTCAACAGAATAACAACATCACACCCAGATGCATAGGCCTGTGAAAACAAATAAGACAAGACAAACATTGTTGTTTAATTTTAATAATAATGCTTCCATACATACATGTATAATTCTAAACAAAATGTTACAACTGATCATTATTTTTACAGCACTCCATTCTTTCTACATGTAGCTTACAAGCCAGGTTACATAAATTGAATGTACAACGTCATAGGCCATAATTTGCCATGAAAATTTCCTGCCTAGTCTCTGTTTACAATGTAAAAGTTCTTTCCAATAATATTTCCAGTCTGTTAATTTTGCCAGCAACCTTTTTCAATACTCCTTTTTCAATACACCTGCTCATAGCTTGTGAAGGTCAGCTAAATTTACAACACAGCCAGTAAAACTGTGCAATTTAAATCAATACCATAAGCATGCGTCCATAACTCAATAGGCTCACAAACCATTTTTCCTCTTTCCTTATGTGGATCAAAACAGTTTCCAGCAGTTAGATTTTGATGGGTCATTATAACAACTCTTTATCACTTGATACTACAATCATGGTATCAAAAACTACCCTGCACTCATTGGTGAACATATTGTTATCATTTTCGTGACACAATAGGTTACCATAGTAATAGTATGACCTGCCAAAAACACCCTTAATTACAGCTTTAGGGGTCTACAATTCAAAAACAGCAACATGAAATTTTTTTGTACATATTATCAAATTGTAATTAGCATGATAAAATGCAACTTTTGGCAAAGTTTTTAAAAAATCTGTACATAGGGTTCAGAGCCACCTTTAAGTTTTGAAAATTGAAGGTGGCTCTGAACCCTATGTACAAAATTATTTTGAACTTTGCCAAAAGTTGCATCTTATCATGCTTATCAAACTTTGATAATATGAAAAAATTTCACTGTGCCATTATTGTAGCATCAAGTGATAAAGAGTATTTGTAATGATCCATCAAAATCTAAGTGCTGGAAACTGTTTTGAGCCACCTTAAGCAAGAAAAATCCTGATTAATATTGAAAGTGATCAACAATACTGAAGGTCTTTCCATGCGCTTTTTCAAGATCATCAAAGCTTTAGCACAGTCAAGTTGTGCATCAGTACTACAATAAAGAGAATTTGTTTATAACCCCAAGACTATTGTGAAAGAATTGGTCCATGCTTTTAGATGTGGGTCTCTTGACTTGTAGACGCACTAAGGAGTTTAGAAAGCATGCAAGCTGCTCTTGGCTACCCCTTTTAACAACTCTTAAAACTTTTCTTAAGCTCTCAAAACTCCCACATGCGCTCCGTAATGTACATGTAATAGGCTCACACACACTAAGCCTGAACCAATGCTTAGGTGGAAAGTCTAGTGTTGACTTATATGAAGAGCTTGATCAGAATCAGGGTTCCAGGAAGAAGTGAATATCTAGCCGATTCTGAAGTATAATCTCTTGAGGAACATCATTCTATCATTCATATTTTTCTGGTTAATACATGTACGTGTAAATCTGAGTTCTACAGTTTTGATTTATATATATTGATAAAAGGCACTTGCCAAAAAATGAATTATCTCGAAATCGAGTCAAAGTAAAGAAAATCAAAACATATAGGCTGAAAGTAAAGCACTTGAAAAATAATCATATATCTCGATCAAGTTTTATATGTATACAGGTAGCGTTCGTCGAATTTTTGAGCTTTAAATCTGGAAAAGTTATATAATAAGGTTAACTTTCAAAGACGATCCCACACTATGGCTGAGGGGCACGAAAATATTTTCTTTCATTCAGCGGCAGTTGTATTATTCATATGACCATCTGCTGTCATCCGTGTGCATAACTCTTTGATCCAAGACAAAATATCAAATTTACACTCACCGTAAAAGGGTGATCTTCCACGCTTCCAACATCGATTGCAGCCTTATCATCGAATGTGTTCGTTGCTCCAGTGAGCACTTGATGGAGTTTCATCCTTCACAGATCAAACCACAGCCTCATCTTTGAACTGAAAACAATAGAAACTCCAGTTCCTGAAGTCACAGGCCGCCATTTTGCCTCAACTCGACTTTGCGGCAGTGGCTAATGGGTATATCCGCTGTTCGTTCTGGAACTGATCGCAGAAGCAGGATGCTCAGCGGTTTATTCCATTGGACGAATGCAAGATGGCGGACCGGGAAGACTGTGAGGATGACAGCGATTTCTTTCGTACTTTTGCTGAGGTTCCGTTATGCCCACCGGAAAAAAGACACATGTGCGCGAGGTGCAAGTAAGCTGGTTGAGCTGGTTGCTGATCAATATCGTAAAGAATTAGACAATTTTGAAGAGCCCCATTCCTTACAAGTCCGGTACAAAACTTATGCATGCGATCGAAACTTCACAATGTCGTGTTACTTTTAACTACTAAAAATCTGATTGCCAAAAACATTCCTTAGCTCCATATACAAGTCTCTGTTTGTTTCCTAGGAGACCACTTTCAGTGTGTCTGTGCGCGCATTTCCCAAGAAAGTTTCTTCAAATCTCAACAACAGTTCATATACTGCAACATCCTCGTGAGGTTTGTTACATTTAGCTTAAGCTTAAATGCTTGATTTTCCTTCCATAAAGCTATTGATTTTCCTCCTATGTAGTTGTGCACTTCCTGAAAATGTAAGGGCTGCTCATTAAAATATTAAAATGTTTCTCTTATTTATTTCCAAGGGTAAGAGTTCACGGGTATCTCCTATCAATATGTATAAACCATGTGTACATTGTCAAAGGGACAGTGGTAACAGAACAAAAATAGGATCAAATTCTCTTCAGTACATCAACAGAGTTGTTATAAAAATAGCTGAAACTAAAAGGTTGAAATGGAAGTGAGGAACATTTCTCCCCTATATTATATACATTGTAATTACTCACTCTTTTTTTTTTCCTAGGAGTCCCGACTTTTGACAACTGTTCCATTACTGGAGGTCTGTTTGCCTCCAGAGAAACTTGTCATTCGACGTGGAAGAAGGTTTTATGAAAATAACTGGCCTGACCTTCACAAACTACTGAACAAGCCTACAACACTTCTTTTATATCCTGGACCAACAGGTTTGTCAATTTTAGTTTTATTTCATTTAACAGTAACATTACATTTGAATAAAATTGATAATAACATGTATAATACAGCAAAGTGTATTGTGCATTTGACATCGTTCTCCTCTGACAGCAGTAAATATTAAGTTTTGCTTTCAATGTTGCTAAATGTAATTAAGACTAAGTTCAATGCAAAACAATAATTATTGCTGGCCAGCAGTCCCCCTCGGGGTGGTGTACAGGGTGGCCAGTGGATTTGTGCAGGGGTACCTTGATTTTACAGCTTAGTTTCGAATGTCAAGTCATCCTGCATGTTTTTCATTGCTAGTCAGATCTTGTTAAGCTTTTCTCTCAGCCCACCCATCTGCCTTGTCTTCATGGTAAGTATATGGTAAGTATCCTGTGTTTCCACTGTTTTTTTTTTCAGTGTGACAGTGCCTGGTAGTTTCTGCTCACAGGATTGTCATGGATACCCTACATGCTCAGTTCAGTTTGTTCTCGAGTTCCACCATCATTTGAGGCACTATTTCCCAAACTCATCTACTGTTGATGAGGTTATGTCATACACTGTAACTCCACAACCAGCACTGATCAGCCTTAAGAACTCAATGCAGTCTATACATTACATGTATATCAAAATTTTTTTACAGGTGTATAAGCCACACAGTTTTGTTTAGTGTATTTTATATTCATTTGATTGTTCTTAACTTGCACACAGCTGAAAATATCAAATCACTNTCATGGTAAGTATATGGTAAGTATCCTGTGTTTCCACTGTTTTTTTTTTCAGTGTGACAGTGCCTGGTAGTTTCTGCTCACAAGGTTGTCATGGATACCCTACATGCTCAGTTCAGTTTGCTCTCGAGTTCCACCATCATTTCAGGCACCATTTCCCAAACTCATCTACTGTTGATGAGGTTACGTCATACACTGTAACTCCACAACCAGCACTGATCAGCCTTAAGAACTCAATGCAGTCTATACATTACATTTATATCAAAATTTTGTCTACAGGTGTATAAGCCACACAGTTTTGTTTAGTGTATTTTATATTCATTTGCTTGTTCTTGACTTGCACACAGCTGAAAATATCAAATCACTGGAAAAGCTTCCACCTGGTCAACATTACGATATTATTGTCCTTGATGGAACATGGAGACAAGCAAGGGATATTTTTGCTAACAATCCATTTTTATGCAAGGCCAGGCAGGTATGTTTCAGTAGACAATTTCAGTGTTTTATTCTGATAGCAACAACCCCAAAATTAGCCTGCATAGCAGGCATAAAACTGGGAGAAAGAGGGAGGGAGCTAGGGCAGATACAGGATTTTAGAGAAGGGGGTTTGAAATATGGATCACCAAAGGCGGTCCCCTGTACAGGGTCTGGGATCCCCTGTAGGTTTCTGGCATCTCCTGTAAGGGGGTCCCTCAGAAATGGGATTTCCGGCAATCTGAGGCCAAGTCAGCGTGTTAAAATGTTTTATTTTTTGTTGATTTAGGGGGTTCAATCAAACTGCCCAAACCACCTAGATCCACCGCAGGGAGAGTGGGAATATGAGGAAGGGGCATTTCCTTCTCATTTTTCCTAGCTTTTTGGCCTCCTCTCCCCATTCCCTGTTTACATCTCCAATGCATGCTACCCCACAATTCGATATGATCGTCAACATGCTATTTTATCTAAGTACATTTGATGTGCCACTGCATGTCATGTACATGCAGAAAATTGCAAAAAGGCATTCCTTGAGGCATTTCAAGAAAGAAGATGCAGTGTACATGTAGTTGCTTGTTGAAACTTTTGTGTTGTTGCTGGTGGCCGGGGTCAATCACCACACATGACAAGGGATGTAAATGTTGCACACACAATCCTTAAAGGAGCTCAGTCACGGTATTTCGAGTTATTTTTGCCACATACAAAATAACCTTTAAATGGTAGGAAACCTGAAAATAACAGTTTAATAAGATAGAGAAACACCAAAGAGATAATAATAAACCATAGAGAAACAATGATGGCTAAGAATGGAGAGGATTGACACGGATTACAAATGACAAATTTGAAAAACTGAGGCTAAACTTTTCAATATGCACAAACCGTGACGTAGCCCCTTTAAGTACATGTACTGTAAGAGCATACATGTACTTCAGGAAATAATTTACAATGTATGGTATTTTAATGTTATCACAAGATTTTAGAAACAAGTTACTGTTAGAGTAACCAGCATTGAATTTAAGGTAATATACATTTAGAACAATTTTTCTCCTTTTCATTTTTTTTGAGCATTTATTTCAGTGTACACCACATACAGTACATTGTACATGTATATACATGTAACAAAATTGCTACATTTGTGCAGTAATGTTGTTTGCTATAAGTTAAAATAAAAAAATTGTAACTGTATTAATGTCAATGTTTCTAGGTTCAGTTAGAACATGATCATATTAGCGAATATGTGATTAGAACTCAGCCCAACAGTAAAAGTTTGTGTACCATCGAAGCGATCGCTTTATCATTATCACTTCTTGAGGATAATGGCGAAATTGCTGAGGTGAGAGTTTTTATAGTATACTTGGCTTACATTCTTCTTCTTGTTGTTTACTTGGTTGTGAAGTTCCTCTATGTTAACATGTTGAACCTTAGATGTAGAATGAGGCCAAAGAACATTGTGATATTATCTTGTTGCTTTGTTCATCAGGCATTAATTCGTCCTCTTAGAGCGTTGTGTAAAATACAGTTGGACCATGGTGCAGTGGTACACTTCAATAAGGACCATGAAGACGAGATAATGTTGAGGGCGTAAGTAAACAGAACATTTGATTGATATGAAGTTGAATCTTTTTAATCCATGGTTCAAATTGCAACTAGCGTAATATGGTTTCTTTGTCCAAAGAAGCCCCATTTGAGGGGTGGGAAAGGGTGTCTGAGTATCCCATATTCCGTAAATCTTTGGTCTAAATATCCTGAATACCGTTAATTTTAATGTTACAAATTAACAATTTTCCTACTCGCTATCCCAAGAAATCTGTCCTAAATGCCCCACATCCCATTAAGTTTCCCCAAAAAGTTCCTTTCTCCCGCTAATTTTTAACCTGAGTAATTCGCATTCTTAAAGTCGCTAATATGGCTTCTCGAAACGTTCATGCGGCAGCATTGTGTATTGTAGCATGTGACTGGAATGTCTGTGTGCCAAAAAGAAGGACGTTTTGATAAGTTCGCGGAAGTTTGAATCCCAAAAGATTGAAACCGTCTCCTTAGTCTTCTGAGTAAAAGTTTAGTCAAGTTGTTTGCACTGTAATCCGTGGAGATCTTCTCTATAAAAATTTCCCTTTGAACTGATTCCTTTTCTAGGCAAAGACAAGCGGAAAAAGACGGACAAAGGAAAATGAATGGAGTTATCGTAACGAACACAGACACTGACGAAGATAAAATTCTTCTTGAGAATACGTGACGTACGTTTCAACTCAATTATTTTTTCATCGGATGCGGATATTTATTTATGGAACAACATGAAAAATAACAAGAGTTTCAGCAACTACATATAACTAGCTGGAAATGTCGGACAATTTTAATATCGGACAAAAAGTGTCCGAACTTTTTAAGCGTGCGCAATTGTTAGCGTCCGAAATATTTACAGTACAGAATTAAACTTTTATTTAGCTCCAAAGTTCTTAGTTTCCTTCTTTTTCCTTTTGGAAGGAGCTCTAGCTGAGACACTGCTTGACATACGTAACGTCATGACAGAATTTGTGCCGTTTTCACATCTTTGTTTCTGTAAAACCTTGACGGAGCACTTAAACTATCATTTTAACAGATGTTGGTCCAGTCTAAATTGTGTTTTTTACTACAGTGTAAGTCTAGATAGTCTAGATTCAGTCTAAATTGCATGTGTTTTTTTACTTTTCAGCTAAGTGTTCGAAATGTTTGTCCGAAATTTGCCCGAAGTAAGATTAAAAAAGTGTCCGAAGTAATGTAGGACATTTTAGCCTCCTTTGGTAAATTTTTCTTTTGCTCTACGGAACTTGTTAAAAAATTGTTTAAGTCCAAGATAAGAAAACACCAAAATTTCACCATTTTCCGTCCATAATATTTTTGCATTTCACATTGTTTTGTAAAGAACGACTAAGAAATGTGGCAAGGCTTATATCGCACGTGCAAAGCCATTACTGTACTTCTCATTAACTTTCTCTTTGCCGTTGTGGAAACTTTTGGGAAACGTTTCCATTCTAATTAAGTCACTGTGTTCTTACAGGATGTAGCAAGTTAAGCATGTATTCTTAAATGTGAGACTAGGTTTGTGTGATATTCTGCTAGTCTGTTCCGAACTGAAAGCTGCCATTCTTGTTTGGGTGGAACAATGCAAATTAACTGGACGCGTGGACACTGGGTCCTGGTCTTGCAGGGACTTGGGACCCCCGAATACGAATTTCCATGTACTTGTGTTTTGAGATCGCTCTGTCGAGGAAATGTAATGTAATCTTTTGTTTTGTATTATGAAATAAATCGTTTGAGGACATTATCCTCTTGCTGTTTCATGCTTTGAATAAAATAGAACAACATTAAAGCAAAATTTCTGTATTTATTGCTGTTTAATACGCCTTTAAAATAGTACAATAGCTTTTTTTCTCAGCGCCCACCCTTATGTTTCGCCCTATTTCGGGCTGCGTTAAAATTCTTTTTACTTAATGTAATTTTGAAGAGGAAACTTGTGGAAATATTTAGACTATTTAGTATTTATCAAAGTATTCTCCCCTTTTCCCAGCCCATATCAATCGCAGATGAGGAAATAGAAATTCTTTTTCGTCCCTCAAATAAAATATTTAATGTACAAAACGGGACATTTCGCAAGCTACTCTTCAAAGAGGAATCCCCCCGCTGTCGAGACTAAGCGTTTGAAAAGTCCTTTTTACAATGAAACCGTAAGCTTAACATATCGAGTCAACCTTCCTGCGTTAGGAGTTGTGTTAACATAAAACTTTATCACTGGACGCAGTTGAAGGAGCTCAGTCACGTAATTTTGAGTCAGTTTGGCCATGTACAAAATTACCTTCAAATTGAAGGAAACCTGAAAATGATAGTTTACTGATATGGAAAAACACCAAAGAGATAAAAGTAAACCATAAACGAACAAGGATGGTGGAGGATGGGGAAGATTGACACGGAATACAAACGACAAACTTTAGGCTAACACTTTTAAGATGCGCAGACCTTAAGGTACCTCCTATAAGTTACATGTAGGTCTCATACGAGAGGGCACGGGTCATTGTTGAAGATTTTCACGGTCGGAGACCCTCGCTGTGAAAATAATGCACCGTAGTTTTTATAGAGCATTTCGCTTACAGGTGTCGTAAAACCATCACAAAAGTAATTACAACGGCCAACGTACATACACAAAACATCGCAACGAACCAATGAGAACAAGAGGCAAATGCAGGTCAACGTCACAAAGCACGGGCAAACGCGTGTGACCCCATGGTGCATTTTAGTTTTGCATCTTATTGGTTGATAAGTTGGTGCAAGCTTTTTTTTTTAACCAATCAGAGCAAAGTGAAGCAAAACCACAAGGCCGCTCTATCTATTGGTCAGTGATGGCCTTAGCTCTCGCATTATGGGCCTTGGCGATGAGTTCTGAGGTCTTGATAATTCCCTTACTGACCCCAACGCCGATTAAACTTCCAAAGAAACCCCCAACCATGGCCCCTACAACAGGAACCGGTATGAGCACCTGCCCCACGATGGTCCCAGTGGTGCCTCCAATAAACTGGCAACTAGAATCACACAACTTTCGTCTAACAGTGGATTTGAACTGCGAGTTTGTGATTAAGCCTTTGTCACGCTGTAACTTGGATCGCGTGACGCTACCTGCAGTAAGAGCAACATCGACTAACACAGATATTGCAATACCAGCGGCAGCTTGACCGAGCGCCATCGCTGCCGTTTCTATGCCAACCGTTGCTGTGCTTTCCGCTGCTGTTGACGTCACCACGGTGGCTGTCTCAATGATAACTTCCTTTACAGTGATCGCAGTCTCAGGCGACTCACCACTGGCCATGACAACGTGGGCACTCATGTCTAAGATCTTGTCAATGGCGCGAAAAATAGCTTCGATTTTTGCTTGTCGTTCTTTAACAGAAAATGGAATATGCAAAAACGCAACGTTAAAGATATCGGCTGAGTAACCAATAACTAAATCTTCGTCGATTTTTAAGGTAATTGAACGCTTGGGGAACTTCTTCACTAAAGCCCATATTTCCATATTTGAACGCGAGGCTAAATCAGGAAGCGGAAGTTGAGAATTTGCAAATGAGGAGAAATCTAATCGCACATTTATCAGTACGCTATCTTCATCCTCATAGAGATTTCGAACCGCGCTCGTTTCTTCACAGTTACGTAACCATACAAATGCCGGATAATGAGGTCCAAACTCCTGCTCAGTCGAAGAGTTGCAACCACGTCGCATAACATGCTCGTAAACCAAGGTCTCGAAGGTCAGCCACATTGAAGTTTGATCGCAGCTTCCATCGAGGAATCCATCGCAAAGGTTCTTGTGAAAATCATCCGAAAATCGAGTGTTTCTAGTGTTTTCCACCGCGCGGTTGGTTTTAGCCTTGTTCGGCTCGATGGCTGTGTGACGCTGTTGTAACAAGCGCTGCAGAACACATTCGTTCCATGTTTTGTTTTCGTAAACCAAAACACATCTAGCGCACGTCTTAATAACTGCAAATTCATCTTCATTTTCTGCGTCGACCTGCTGAAGGGACACGTCAGAGTTAGCCGGCGTGGAATCCAATAGCAACGAAAAATCTTCCTTTTTCTTTTTCAGGAATGCTATCACGGAGCTAACCGCTTTCTTCATACGAGAAGACGTCGTCTCTTTGGCGAAGTTTATTCTAACGCGTTTCGATTGTTAAGTTATTGTCATGCTGTAGAGCTCACCAGTGTTTCGCCCGATACACCTGCCGCCCAGCTTACACTGACCCTTGGGAAACTGCATTGTCTTTCAAATGAATATTTACTTACGCGTCAAACAATTGGAGAAATTCTTGCCTATTATTGCTTCTGGGCTCGTAAAAAAAGAGAAGAAGCGACAACATTAGCGCAAGGTAGAATCTGTTTGGCTGGCATATAGATTTCACGATAAATTCAGCATTGAAAATTTATGAAGTTTGTTGATCAATGAATAAAACGAGTTTTTCAGGATTAATTTTTCATAACTTGTAGGTAAATGCGGTCAAGCCAGTTGCGGTAGGATTTTATTAAGACCACTTTAAAGGTTTCTTGCTGAGAAATAAATCGCATGTTATTGAAATAAATGTAAGATTTTGTTCCTGCGAAAACGGCTCTGGAAAACTCTTTTCCAGCTTTACTTGATAGTTTCTGCGAAGCATTTCAACAATTTTGCACGATTTGTTTTTATTTTTGATTTACGCCAATCTTGGAGAAGGTAATTCAAATTAATCTTTTAATCTATTCGGAAAAAAAACTTATGATTTTATTTATTCTTTTCTCGTAGTCTTCATCATATTTAGTGGTAAATTTCACAAGTATTCGAAAGCATTACAAGAACAAGCTGCCAAGATGTAAATTTTGAATGAAGTTTGTCCGCTTTTTCAATTCAGGGAGAAAGAAAAAACTACATTATTTTCTCCCAATAGAGAGATTTTATGTCGATTCCTAATTTTCCATTTCAGACAGATCGTTTTACCGCACCGTAATTTTTTTTTTAAGAGATTTTTTTTGTAATTCACGGAATCGAATGTGTTTGCAATATTCTGTTTTAAATTTTAATCACGTAAAATAGAATATTTCAATTTCTTTGCGAACCTGGCTAAGTGCAAATCCACGTCAGTCAATTAAATATTTGTACTTTTCTTATAATGGGACTAATTCACTCAAAGCTATATATGGCATTTAAAATTGCCGAAGGTATTTTAATATGTAAAGCAGAGCAAGATACGAAGCTATCACAGAAACAATATCGCAAATATTCAGAAAAATGCCTGATATAGAAGTGTTGATAAGTCTTAAAAACAAAATAAATTTGTTACAAATAAACGAAGGTAAAATTCTTACAATCGGAAAACGTGAAATATTACTGGTTTATACCTGCTGTACAATTACACGTGAAAGTAATTCACGCTAACTTTCAAAGATTCAATTTGTTTGAGATAGAACTTAAAGTAGAGGCGGAGCTACAAAAGAATTTCTCACGAATTAATTTGAAACAAGATAACTCGATTTAAAAACAAAGATCTTATATTCATATTTTCTTGATTCGATCTTTTTAGCAATTTCGATAAGCGATGGTAGCTTTCAAGGCGATTTCTAGTTAAGAGCTACCATTCTACAACGGGTGTCGAAGAACGTTTCTTAAGGTTTTTTTTTTCCTAGACTTAACTTAGTAAATACACTGTGTAAATCGATTTACTTGGAACTCTCTCGAGGAGTGTTTAGTTTTGGCCGCTGGATACACTTCATTGATACTTAGAAATTCATAATGCTGGGATTACTTTTGAAAAATGTGTGGTTCTTAACTAAAAGCGTTTGTGGTCGTCTTTAAAAGTTCTCCGCTCGCCGCTTTTTCGTGAAATCCATTTGTCGAATAACATTACTATTAGTACAAAAAGGAGATGAAGTGAAAATAAATCACTCGAAACAAGAATATGAGAAAAAAAATGTCAATTAGAAAGTGACGTTGGTTTTCTTTTCACTGAAAAGTTATTTTGTACAGATATCGATTTACTGACGTAAATTTTTAAAACCAGTTAAAACAATAGTAACCGGTACGTAAATAAAGAAGACAAAATACAGTTTATTGATTTCATTTTCTTAAATTATAAAGGAAAGTTTGCTATTCCGCTGGTAATCAGTTATCACGGGAACATACATGTCACTGGAGTTCACTTCCACTGACAGAAGAAGGAAATTTCGAGCTCCCTGTTCTTTGCGTTGAGTAAATCACTAATAATGCCGAAGTGAACGGCATTCAATTTTGACATCTAAACGCAAATTAAATTATCTGATTTCAGGGAGAAAATATCGCTTCACCATAAAAATATATCCCGTAAAAAAATACCACCTCTAATTGGTCGAATACTGTAGGTGTCTTTGCAACTCAAGGGAAACCAAAAAAAACTATTTATAAATTTAAGTAGTGCTGTCAAATGCTATTTTCTATGCATAATAGATATATGTACAGGTCATTTTTTTTTCTTCGTTCATCACACACTGAAAGTTTCCTTGCGATCTTAGCTTAAAACGTTAAGGCCTCATCTGGTTCAGCTACAAAGAGGCCGATGTAGTTTGTGCCATTCTGCGATTGGCTTATGTGGAGATAATACCACTGCTTTCCAGTGCACCACTTCCGACTGTAACGGCGCGTCCATTCCCAGTCTCACGTGACCTAAGACCTCGTTTCCACGTATAAAGTCATGCTGAAAGACAGTAAACTGCACTCCAAAGTTCTCAAGTGTACATGAGCTGTTCGTGGCGACCTCAAAACTGAATTCTTCATCAAAAACTAGGTTTTTCTTTTTGGTTTTTGTTTGATATTTATTCAGGATTTCGTCCTTGTACGTGAGTTCGACAGCGACGAAATGACCTTCAAAAAATAAGAAGAAAATACCAGTGAAGTTTAATATAACAAGAGAATATTCAGCGACTTGTCTGATCAACAAATAAATAAATTATATTAATTGATTGATTAATAATTTAATGAATAACAATTTTTTATTCCCATATTAATATCATTACATTAATTATCAAGTTGGCATGCCATAGGCATAAGGTAAATCATTAGCAAGGGAGTTGGCAACCAACATTTCGAGCGATATACAAAACAGCAAGACAAAATATAACTGTAAGATATACAGTTGTGGTAACGTAGCTGTAATCTTGCTTGTGGTAAAACAAAGTGGCACTAAATCATTACGTTAAGTTGTGTAAAAGCAGTAGATAGTTATTTACTTTTGATTGACTTTGGGAGATCTTTAATTTTCATGACTTTGACCTTGAGACACGACGAAGTGGCCTCGTGACACAGGGACACCTGGAGTTCGCCAGCACACTGAAGGAAAAGAAATGTCATTCCTAAAAGAAAGGCACCTAATGGCTAACAAATTTATTACTAACAAATTAGTTATTTGGTTACTTAAAATTGTTAACTGTTCAAGATCCCTAAAGCAACTTCTGAACACTACACACTTATTTCTCACTCCTCCTTGTAATCTTCTAAGCTTCGCTAATTTCTCTATTGAGCCTGTTATTTTCGTAAATAAAATTAAAGTGTAAAGCTTTAGCGATTTGTTTCCTAACCTGTGACAAGTATTTTGCACGCCTTACGGACCTATGGAGATGTAGTGCCTCATGATTAGTACGCTCGACGGTCTGGGTTCTAACCCTGCCCGGGGGCGGCGACATTGTGTTGACAATTTACTCTCACAGTGCCTCTCTTTACGGTACCGGCGAATTTAATGCTGGGGGTAACCCCGCGATGGACTAGCATCCCATCCAGGGGGGAGTAGAAATACTCCTAGTCGCTTCAAGCTACAGAAACCGGGATAGGCTCCGGCCTGATGGGCCACTTGGTTCGCATGCAGACTTTACCTCACCTTTATGGACCTACCGTACCTGTTTTCTCCCAGCTTTCTCTTGTAGACTCCGGGTCACATTTTCTCCCCATGTTATGCTTTCGTCGGCTAGAGCAATCAGGGCCTCTCCAATCGGCTCACACCTAGAAACGCCAAGCCGGTCTAGAAGCTTAATCTTCAGTCGCGCTTGTTGAAACTCGGAGATATAAACACCGTCGAAAATGAATTTTTCGTCGAATATCGGGTTGCAGGTTTTCTTGTGCACTTTGCTCTGAAATCGCTGGCGTTTAGAAGACGTTTTGAGCGATAGCCGTGCCAATGCGTTCAACAAGCGACCATGTCTGATTGGTAGCTCTGTGGAGTGGATTAAATGCACCTCAAGAGTATGCTGGTCTGCCTGGTAAGTCATTTTAAAGACCACGTGGCCACGGTTTTGTGGTATTCGTGAGTTTTTCCTAGCTGGCTTGTTGGTGTAGGTAATTTTACTTGTGCTGTGTCTTCTGTGTTTCTCCACCTTTGATCGGGGTGCGTTTTTGTCCACCGTGGATACAACTGATTTGCGCATGTGCGGTGTAGGATCCGGAAGTGTCGAGTCACCATCCAGGGACTCACGTGACAAACTGTTGTTGCTCTCAGAGCGAGAACGAAGACTGATCGAACCTTTCCTTGGTTTTGAATAAGAACTGACAGCTGAGTAACATCTCCGCGAGAATGATTCATCTGTTAAAGGAAGCAAGCAGACCCAAAGTTTATCCTGTGTTTGCTTAGAAATGTTTCGAGGTAAAAATAACATATGAAAGCAGTACAAGTGTTCCAAAATATCACACGGTATCTGCACTCTTGGAAACCGGTTTAACAAGTTTTCCGTACATCTGTAAGACTTCCCGAGAGTCAGTAAAACACAGATGAAAGTTTGGTTTTGGAAAAACAGGCGTTGAATTTTTAAATATTTTATTAAGGGTGTGTTACTTTAGGAAAATTCTTTAATCCAAAACAAAAAACTATGATAGACTGTTGTCCAGAAACGGGTTTTGCTTTTCTTTGCTGACCAGATTGCACCCCTTTTTATAAAAAATCACTATGGTTTTTCTGGTCCAGGCTGAATATTCTTATTTTCCTGCTGACTTTAGGCTCAAAATATTCTTATGAATATTCTTAGAATTGCCGTTTATTTTAGCAGAGAATTAAAGGAATACAAAGTGAACTATGCCGACTCAACGTCACATTATCTGTTCCCCAAGATACAACGGAGGCAGGTTATTTACAATTTTAAAAATAATTTTGTTGCAATCTTAATAATAACCCACTTTTCGTTGAGTCACCATCCAGGGAATCATGTGATAAACTATTTGCGCTCTCTGATCGGGAGCCAAGACCCGTGGAATCTTTTCGTGTCCTTGAATAAGAGCTAGCAGCTGAAAAACATCTCCGCACAAACGATTCGTCTGTCCAAGGATAAAAGCATAGAAATAATCAATTATCTATTTTCTTCTCTAGATACAGTTTTGTCAATTTTTCTCAAGGGTTTATGCTAAGGTGGAAAAATATGCCTAACTTCGAAAACTTTGATTTCGGAAGCTTTCCCGAGAATTACGACCGTCTTAACTAAAATTTGCTGAAACGGTCCTAGCAAAGAGGGTCTCTGGGAAATTGGACAATTCAACTATTTAGTGTACACGGAGAAACTTTAACAAGAAAATCGTACTACAGCGTTTGTTTGCTATTTTGCAATTTCTAACAAATTAGAGATAACAAATTGGAAGGGAAAACATTCGGTTTACCTATTGACTTTAGTAAAGTAATTGATAACTTGAGGAAACCAATAGAGACAAAAACAAAATGATATTTAATTGTTTAGCAGAGAACTTTCTTGTTGTTGCCTGAATGGCTGTTTGGAGTAACTGTCTAAGGTTAAAGAGCGGAATTTAATTTCTCTGCTTACCGCTGTCCTCAAAGAACAGGGACTCCCCTCTATTTGTTCGTTGTGGCTTACTAAGGACAGTTACCCGCTGACCATATCTATCCAGCACACATGATGCGGAGTTTAACCTTTGAAGAGGAGGGTGGATCTTTGCTTCCTGAAGAACAAAACGAAGAAAACAGTTCAAAAGCAGGTTCTATTTTTGCACCGGATAATAAGCCATCCCATTGACAAATGATTTTTCCACAAGCTGACTCACTGACTGACTGACGAGCTGACTCAGTGATTGATTGACTAACCGACTGACTGATGGACTGACTGACTGACTGACTGAATAAATGAATGAAGGAAGGAAGGAAGGAAGGAAGGAAGGAAGGAAGGAAGGAAGGAAGGAAGGAAGGAAGGAAGGAAGAAAGGAAGGACTGACTGACTGACTGACTGAATAAATGAATGAAGAAAGGAAGGAAGGAAGGAAGGAAGGAAGGAAGGAAGGAAGGAAGGAAGGAAGAAAGGAAGGACTGACTGACTGACTGACTGACTCACTCACTCACTCATTCACTGGCTAACTGAGTGACTGACACAGTGAATGTCTAACTGACTGTCTGGTTGACTGACTGACTGATGTGATTCTCTCACTGATTCACTCACTTATAAATCGCTGTATATGCCGTCTACCTCACCTTCCAGTTTGTTTGAGTGTTTGCTTGACCACAGTTAACATCTTCAGTAGATGCTCCACTAGGGTAGCAATTTATAAACGCACTGTCAAATTCATCATCTTCTTCCTCCTCCTCAAGTCTGTCTTGAATCAATAGCGGGATAAAATCAACCGGTTGTGATGACACTACCAGCTGCTGAACGCCCCCTTCGGCTAAACGCCGCTCTTTCTTGTGCTGCCTTTTCCAATTAAAATAGCACTTAACCGCAAGGACTGCTATAATTGCTGCTAGGAGCGTTCCAGCTAGACTGATGGACAAAATAATTCCCAGCGTTCCTGTAAACAAGAGAAAAACTGAATTAAACAATTCTTTTGTATCCCTCTTGGCTTTTCGATTGTGTTCGCAACTTTCGATAGCTCAGTTGCTTAGCAACAGATGTTACGACTGAGGTTGACTAGAGGTCAGGGCCCCAAACGTGAGAGTAAGGGGCTAGAAGAAATTATAGAAAACGTGGATGTTTCTGTGATCTTTTCCCAACGGCTGGAATCCTCAGAACTCTTGGTTGCGTTGTAGCAAGTTATAATTAGCTATAGATTAACCCTCTCGTAAGTCTGTCTCAAAACTGTGATTGCTTCTACAGACCAGTTTCCGCGTATTCTCGTTGTTGCGTAATGTTACTGTTCGTGCCAGCCGCAGTTGCTTAAACCGGTTTACGGGTCATGAAAATATATGATACGATGTGCTGAAACGTGGTTCTCTGTACTTCCTCGTCCTTTAAATACACGTATTTTGTTTTTAAAAAGATCGACAAGATGTCAAATAAAATAGAACGAGGAAATTCCTCAGGCTCTTTTTCGTTGTCATGTTAACAAGAACTAGCGTGTTGACATTTCATTGGTTTAAATGAAATCTCAACGTAAACACTTGACTGGCTTCTTCAGAGTAACACTATACGACTGCAGAATGTATGTCTGTAGATTATGGACTCACAACGACATGCCTTTAGTAATAATTCAAATTTCTCTCTATCTATCAAGAAAAAACTTTCATTTCACCTTGAATTCTGACAGGTTTCGCACGACATTTTGCTTAATTGAGCATTTAAAATGTAAAATATGCCGCACTTATAAAACATAACATTCACGATGACGTCAAAGTAAGCTTACTGAGCTGTCCCATCGGAGTTTGGGATTTCCGTCCCCACGAAATCAAAATTGCAAATAAATGTGAGAACTATTTCTATTCTTTCTCTAACAATGAAACAATTATGCTTGAGTCGTTTTTCTGCGATACTTGCTAGATCCGTGACGTTGTACCATCCAGGCAGCGCTTATTAAAAGAAAATGAGGAAATATTAAAATGGTTTCCTTATGGGGGGAGTCGCTTACGTGCAGAACAGTGATAATTTTCACAGCCCTAACTAGTGATTTTCAAAGAAAGCTAACAATCAGGCAACACATAGTGCAGCTTAAGGCTAAAGCTTTGAATCAAGTGCAAAGATTTTCACAAAATTTTAAGCCGAAGATACAAATTGCGCGACTTCAAGTTACAATTTGTCCCCATCGTCATCAAACCACAGGTGACAAATTTCCTTCTGTGGGAGAAATAGAAAGCGTATGTCACGTACCTTGCATTTTGAAGTTTCACTCCATCGAGAGGCTTCTAACCAGGCTAGCTGATGTCAAAAATACTCTTTCTGTACCATATCTGGTTCTCTCCGTAGACGTTTATAAAAGGTGTACCGATGTATTGTTCTGTGCTTGTCAGGCTATGACCTTTGGCGGGAATTTAGCGCCCTAGTGCTCTTTATAATCTTATAGATCCTATTCAGAGAGCCAGTCTTAATATTTCCCAGTCTTGAATCTCGGTAAAATGCTGCCCCTTAGTTAAGGAAATTGTCACTCAGAATACAACGTACACTATAGGAATGCCATTGCCTCCATCAATGCTTGAAGAGTTCTGCATTCCCAGTTGCTAATTGCGCTTCTTATCATTACGTGACCATCCGTATATGTTGTTCGACCTGTTTCCGTTTTAGCACTGAGCTCCAATTGCAGGGAATGCGAAACACGTGATGCTGGGATCAGAACGACACTTTTCACTCTACACTTCAAGAATTGATATTTTATTGTGTGGATAAGATGAAAATAAAACTTGAAAGAGGACACTAGGGTGTTCAATACATTTAGCTATACAGTGTTTCGCTTTGCCATCGAAGTCCCTAATTCATGGCTATCATAACACAGTAGTTAATTTCTGCTAATTAGCGGTATAAATAGTTCCTAATCTCGTTAAGCACGCTTCCCAGCATTCGTGCGCGCGAGATGATCACGACGTGTTCCACTTATGCCCATATAGGGGCACCATTTGTAAGACCAGGGATGGTGTCTCGCATATTGGGCCCATTGAGGAAGACATGTTGATGTAATTATTCAACGCATCAAAGTTAGTATCATAAAGGAACGCACGTTCTTAAAATGGCTCTCTTTGCCGATGTCATATCAATATGTGTAATGATGGTCGTAGGCTCGGTTATCAGCCGCTGCGTCGGGAAATGAGCCCGCGCTTACCCCAAATACTCCTGGGAACTCCTGCTTGGGGCGAACGCGACCGGACACTAGCCTGCGTCGCAGACAGTCTAAACCGCCGGTATAGTACTGTGCTGTACTGTATCGGGGATTTTAAGACACGTCCGGCTGCAACGCGGGCTACCGGACACCTGAAATCGAGCCTACAGGTCTTGTTAAAGCGTCGAGTGCAAAAAAGCGCGAGGAGTGGAAACTAGTAGAAAGTAACAAAGCCGGATATCACACGAGATCTAATCAGCCAAACTTGAAAAGTCGAACGATGGAAAGTCAAAGACTACTGCAAGGCTGACACAACATCGTATATTTAACACAATATTTCGAAAAGTGCCGGTAGATAAGGGAGTAGGGAGAGCCGGAAAACACTTTTCAAAGTTAACGTTTCTTTTGTAGGGTGATTGTTCAGAAGTCACTACAGAAAAAATTGAAATGTCTGCGTCACAGACGAGGGGAATCAGAAGATCATAATCTTGGGAGCAGCTTGCAGCTTGTTTTTAAGCCCAGGCAGGACTGTGGTGATCTAAAGTAGAACCTCTATACAATACACTGTCGCAACAGCCACCTTGGGGATAGAGGAAAGTGGCTGTTGTAGAGAGGTGTCCATGGCCGTTATGGGGAGTTAGGGGTATAAGATGACACCTGCCATTTTTCGGGGTTGCAACATTTTTGTCCTTAAAAAAGGCTGACTGTAGCATCAGATAAGTATGTAGCACAATCAAAATATATATCAATAAAACAGAAACCAAACAGGGTCTAAACAGAAACTGACACTAAAGAAACGCAGTACCGCTCAAGTTTCGTGACCTCTAAAAAAGAAAATTGGGGTTTAATATACCCCGTTCGTCAGTCGTTGATTAGCTGGCCTTTGTCAAGATGTTATTTTAGCAGTTGAGACGCATTTAAGTTGTCGTTGCCGTTGTAGAGAGATTAAAATAAGAGTAAATGTATGGGCTGTCTGCGGGACAAAAAAAGTGGCCTCTATAGAAAGGTGGCCGTTGCAGAGAGGTGGCTGTTAGTGGCTGTTAGCACTGCATATTCTCTGGGATATTGTAGAGACTGTCAATCCTTGCAGTATTTCCTTCTATTGAACTCTGGCAATGACACTATTTTCATTTACTTTAAGGAATAAAAGATCAGGTTTGATTTGCTCTGATATTGAGCCAGAAACCCAAAAGTCAATACAACAGAGATAAAGTTTCACGAGCTTTATCCCGAGAGTCACGCTACCTAAAATTTTAGCGTGTTTTTTTTTAAGTGCTCCGATGAAACAGCCACGCGTCTGAATTCATCCCCTTATTATGAATTTTTATTAATTACTAATACATTATTTGTTTATTTATTTTTTCCTTCTTTTTTCTCATCTACCAGTCAGTATCAGTCGAAACCGTTTTTGCGTGACTGAACTGCGTTACACCGGAAGTGTGAGTGATGTCTCGTTAAACATGAAAACGGAACATGAAGCTTCGTGTTTCAGATATTTAGGGCAATCGGGTGAAGACACTTTGAGCGGGAACCGAGAAAACCGTTTTTTCCCTGACTAGGCGCGGCGGAAGCAATTTATACTTCGGATTTACTGATTTACCGACTAGTTTCGCGGCTGGTGTAATTTTTACGAGGCAAGAAACTCAAGAAAATCGACGATTTTGGTTAAAAAGAAGTCACACTGGAGATTTGCGTTACAGTTCAAAATGGCTCGTCGTTTCAATTCAAACAGATGAAGCGAACCAAGAAGGTCTTTGTGGTGGAAAGCTGTAGATTTATATCACCGTTAAGCTGGAATTTTGTGGATGTTTTTTTGGATATTTTCCACCAGTATAGGAAGCAGCTAGCCTTGCAAATTTCGCGCAAGTGACTTGCATATTTCTTTCCAACGGACAAGCCACTGAGGGCGGGAGATATGAATTCTCCGCCGTTTATCGGTGCGTCCATTGGGTTAGGGATTTTAGTTTTCCTCCTTACTCTTGCTATTGTGGGAATTGTTTTCCTCCGACGATATCTGAAGACGCTGAACGGTCCAAAACCATCTCGGAAGCTTGGAACCTGCATCACTTCAAAAGAGCCACCGGGATTCGTCATCCCTCCGTACACTTTGATTACGGAAGAAAGCGATGGAGGTGAAACTATGAGTGAATATGGTGAAAATATTGAAGAGGATACAGCAAAGCTCTCCCCTCCTTCGTTCAGACGAGCTCTCTCGATGCCATCGGGTCCAATGGGAAATAAGCAAGGAGTTTCTCGTTGTGAGGAAGGCGAATCAGGGACAGCAGGGATTTCAACAAAGGAGTTTCGACCTCAGTATAGGAGAGCTGTATCTCAATTCGTTCCTCAATCTGTTCAAATGAAGAGGGAGTCGGCAAGGAAGGTGTCGGCTGCACCATATGGAAAGCTGGAACTCTCGTTACAATTTGTGACTGCCAAAAATTTGCTGATCGTTCAGGTGAGTTTACATGCTTATTTATTTTATTTTTCATCGTTTAGAAGTTTGATAACCACTTTCAAACCGAGTAGTAAAGAAATACGCTACGGTACATTGGAGGATCCATTTTGAAACAATGTTAATCCTTCTCAGTTTTATTTATTCATTTTAATTTTTTATGCGCTGTAAAAATTTATTTTTAGTTTAAATATTGTGAGTTTGACCCTTGCACAGTATTTGATCCTTGCCAAAAACGAAATGTTTGTTCCCTCAAGGTCAACAAGACCAGAGTAGATATGATCCTGTTTGTACAGTCGGAGTCGTTCCTCAAAAGCACACTCAGCAGCTAGACTACGAGTAGTCTCTCTCTCTCTCAGTCCGTCGTGCGTGACGGTTTTCTTAGTAGTACGCGTCACGAACGGACCAAGCGAAAGAGGGACTACTCGTAGTCTGACTGAAGCGTGTTCTTTTTGGATGGTAGAAGTTGTTGCGGGCGGGGGGGAAGGGGGGCGGCTGGAGGGATTAAAATCTTACTTCTCCTCTCACCTAGTCTCCTACGCAGACGCTCTTTGTGCTCGTCATGTAATCTTCCTCCCCCACGTTCTTGGGGTAGCCCAAAGAGCGCCTTCGTAGGAGGCTACCTCTCACAAGGCCCTTCCTTCCTGACTCCTAGAAAAAAGTACAGCTCTTTCGTTTTCAATTTAAGAAATCATTGCTTCGTCAAAGAGAAGACCCTTACAGAAGAGACAAGGCTAATTGAAAAACAGCTCCTCACGGCTCACAGAGTTTCTTGCCTCCTCTCTAACCACCGATCCCCCTCCCCACCCCCGCTACTTCCCACACCCTGTTCTCAATGTTGACGTTACAGTGATTCTGTAAATTCTTTAGGGATATCAGGGAAATAAAAGGACAGAACAACAATTGTTATTAACATTTTTGCAGGTGAATGGCGCTTTTGATTTGCCTCAAGTGCGTCTATCCGGGATCTCCACCCCGTACGTCCGTGTACATTTGTTACCAGGGCAACGGCACAAGGACACCAGGTCCAACTTCTTGAATCTTGGAACAAACCGGATTTGCATGTTCGATCAAATCACTTTAGAAGAAGCACAAAGGTAAGATATTCTTTCTCAGATTAAATCCGAAAAATAATTTTATGTCGGGTTCGGTCGAGGCTTCCTTTCTTGCTTGGCTCCAGTTTCTCCAATCTTGTCTCCCAGAGGATGTCACTTATTTTTTGTCAGCCCCAAGAAGTCGAGGCCTCTGGGAGAAACTGGAACGTGAGCTAGCATTAGCTACAACTCTTTCTACACATGTACTTTATTAAACTTGAACAGATGCACACAATAAAACCGAAACCGGAATTTTCTGGTTTTGTCCAGAGCATCTCACGCTTGGCCGTCGCTGAACGAAAACGCGCTAGCTCTCTCCCAGGCAGACGCCCTTTGGACTCGTCACACAATCTTTCCTCTGACCATTGGCAATGGGGTGGGGGGAGACTACGTGACGAGCCATCAGAGCGTCTGTATAGGAATCTATTGTTTAACACTTGTGTTTGCCAAATCCTACCCTTTGCTGGTCCCAGAGGTTCTCTTTCTTTCTTTTTTCTTCTCCTGTCACGAAAAACGATATCTGAAAACAAACGTTCGTTCCTTGATTTAAATATTCCGATATTTTTCCAGGGTAACTGAAAGAAGAGAGAATCTTGTTTTTAACTTTGGTAGAAATTTTTCCTTTCTTTGTCCTTTTTTTTTTTTTTTTTTT